CCTTGGGTAGAAATTCTTTGCTATTCAGCTCAGGGTTGTCCAAACAGGCCTTGCCTAAATGATTCTATTGAGATCTAGGTACACGATTGTGTCCCACAAACCTTCATCATATACTTGCTGGGGCGCGAATAGCGGCTTGACTTTACACAAATGTTTGATTGAAATATCAAAGCTCTCGATGGGGTATTTTATCATTTGTGTGTGATGCCGTAACAAGAAATAAACCTTGTTTCTGGGACACGGTAGGTTTTGTATATTAATTTATTATTCAGAAATCATCTCGCTAATTGTTGTTCTAGCACAGTGCATATTAGAAACTTAGACGTTTTGTTTGTTTGTTGTTGTTGATGTGGTTGTTGTTGTTGATATGTTGCTTTAATTGCTTGAATTATTTCTTGTTATTGAAATTCATGATCATTGTCATCATCATATTCATCATCACCATTATCATCACCATTATCATCACTATCATCATGATCCCCATAATCATTATCATCATCATCATTATCATCACCATCATCAATCATCATCCTCATAATCATTATCACCATCATCAGTATTATCACTATCAACCCCATTATCATCATCACTATCATCACCATCACTATCATCACCATTATCATCATCCCTATCATCACCATCATCATCATCAATATCATCATTATCATCACAATCACCATCATCATCTTCACCAAGTAGGCGATCATGATTCTCCACAACTGGAGATCCTCAGCAGAATCAAAACAAAACATTATCAACCCCTCATGCGGCGTCTCCGCAATGAAGGTTGGCTGCAACGGATATCCAACATATTCTGTCTCTTGTCTTGGTTGTACACTCTCTCGGGCTGCTGTTCGACCACCTCTTGATGTTGTGGTCACTTGTATTGTTGTCTACCTCTTGCTTTCTAGTCGTCGACTTTTTCCCTCCAGTAGGGTTTTTAGCGGAGTAATCTTTCTTTTAATGTGGCCGAAATATTTAAATGGTCTCTTTTACATTTCTTTCTGAAATTTATTTTTTATTTTTAGTATCTTCAGAACCTCAGTATTTACTTTTGAATCTATGAAATACCTCCTAATTCAGTTTATCCGCATCTCTAGAAATAGTTCAATTTTCTAGTTGCTTGAATATTGTTGCGACAACAAACATTCGATATCAGTACACATACAACATTCATACAACAAAACAGAAATTAATCATCAAAATAAAATGTGTTCGGCAACAAGCTGCGAAAATAATAACTATCATTATCTTCTATACAAACAGTTATCACTTTGCTAGTTCGTAATCGGACAAAGAAATTGACCAACCATCTTGTTAGTTTAGTAGATGTCCACCCATGTCTCATAAGCTGTATCTGTCTTTTGCTCTTTATGTCCGCATGCCCCCAGTCTCAGGTCTGTGTGTCCTCGATGGGAGACACTTTTCCATAGCCAAAGATTTTGCACTGGAGAACTCTGTACTACACATCCTCTACTTTATTTTCTTCTTCTTCTTCTTCTTCTTCTTCACTTCCTCTTTTACCGATGTGGGTGTCGAGGGAGATATAAGGTTCTGTTTCTAGCTCTTCTGGCTGCCTCGACCATAGGCACATCGTGCTGTTGTAGAGTTTCTCTGATGTTATCCTTCCATCTTGTTCTTGGTCTACCCCGTGCTCTGCGTCCTTCTTATATATCTCATTTTGATTTCTGTAGCGGTAATACATCCACTGCCGGCTTGCTAGGCCTGTCGCAACTTCACCAGAGCCCCGTTGGCCAGGACGTTTCGGGGTGACCCAGGGTGGCCTTCATGGCTACCGTAGCGGTCCCGTGGCACGAGGCCACACCATACTTCGCCCACACCTAGCAATCCCCTACTTTGTCCTGTTACCACCTCTCATGACGAGGACGTAGGGTTGGCCTTTGAGAGGCTACTTTATTTTAACAATGTTAAAAGTTAAAGTTAGTTGAGTATCCTTTACAGGACGCAGAACCAACCCCAGCATTTTTGGCTGTTTTAGTTTTTCTAGGCAAATTTTACGTGCAGTAGTTTGCCATTGCTTTCTTAATGGTCAACTCTCGGTACCACTCTCGAAACCAAAGCCGTCAGCAACTACGATCGGACCCGGCACCCCGGCATTACAAAGAGCGTACGCAACGCCTAGGCCACAGACACCGACCATTTGAACGTTACAGTCTGTAAATTTCGGCGCAAAATCCTGGTTTTCCGGCCCTTCATGAACTGTGGTCTCGTTCCAGGACTTGGGGTTGGCGTACTCATCAGTTTTTACACATTTTGCTTGTTTGTGAGTGCGTGCGCGTGTGAATGTGTGTGCGTGCGTGTGTGTGCGAGCGTGCGTGTATGTGTGTGTGTGTGTATGTGCGTGCGCGCAGTTTCTAGGATCATCAGCTCAGCCAGATGCTCTCTGACTTGGAAGATTAACATCGATCGTATCTACGCTAGACAAGGAACCTGTTTTCCAGACGATAACACATGGCGCAGATAGGTTCGACCAGTACGCCTCCTGCTGCAAACTGTGTGTAGTTCAAAGCAGTGTTGCCACTTTTCTTTGACAAAAAACATCTAAAACGGAGTTTAAAAAAATATCTAAATACATTTACATTTGCGTGGAAAACATCTGGAAAAAACATCCAAATGGAAAGAGTCACAAATTACATAGCAATTGATATGACTTACCCTATAGAATCATGTCCTCATCTTTACTGAAGACTGCCTTACAAGATCCACAGGATAAACTTAGCTTGCATGGTGTAGTTGAAGCTTCAGATCCAAAATGACTCTCTTATGCTTTAGCTGTTCCAATTTCTTTTAATACCCAATCAGGGAGCTGATAAGTGGAACAGCCTTTTCCTACTTTTATCAGGCCGAATTTTATTGTCAAGATAGCATTTAAGAGGTCAAATTTCATCCTGTTTCTTAGGTAAGTTTTGATAAATTTACTCCAAATGAAAAGAATCTAGGAAAACATCTACCATCTAAACGTAAAAAAATGCAAGGGAAAACATCTAAATCAGGATGTAAAGCATCCAAAGTGGCAACACTAGTTCAAGCACTCCTGCATCCCATATGTCACACTATTATCTCGTTAACAACAGTCATGTCCATTTCCTGATGTTGTCATTCCGGGTTCTTCTTTGCCTTTCCCTGTCCCTTTTTAAAAAATCCCCTTCGACTACCTCCCAATGTTCCTGAAAGTATAGTCCTTACAATCGAGTCATGTTTTACCATGTACCCAAACCAAGCTAGTTTGCAACGTTTATACACCAACGAACATTCCTGATGTCCTGCAAATTTGTTAATTATGTCTCTCACGTATTTGTTATTTTTATTTTCTAAACAGCTACATCGAAATTCGTCTATGGCGTTTATGTTCGAAAGCCTGCATCCTCCTTTCCCTTTCCACAGGGAGAGTCCAGCTCTCGCATCCGTATAAGAAGATAAACAATACCAGTGATTTGTATAAACAGACCTTCAGTTTGGAATGACTCTTAAGTAATTTGCACCATCAGTGGTAATTAATATTCATGTCAGTAGAGGACTGTTGTACAGAACAGTAGTGTAAGTTTGGTTTAGGTTTCAACAACGGATTAACATCATGGCATAAGGGTAGTAACCCATACGTGCTCCGTTCTACTTCTAACTCAAGCCAGGTTAGTTGCGTATTCTTTACAGGACGTTGCAGAACCAACCCCACCAGCTCCTGGCTGTTGTGTGGTTTTACTAGGCAAATTTACGTCCAGTAGTTTGCCATTGCCCTGGACGGTCGGCTTTCTTTATACCACTATCGAAACCAATATAAGGCGCATGGCCCGCAGCTGGGATCGAACCCGGCATCCCGGCATTACGAAGCGTTCGCATCGGCTTAGCCACAGAGCCGACACTCAAGCCAGAGTCAGAAGAATTGCGTCGCAGTGCATGAATTCCGAAGCACCGGCGAGGATCTTGAAATACTTTGGGTAGATTTTAAACTCCAAAATGTGTTCGGGAAGCGACTTTAAGCTACACTTTTCTATTTCCAACTGCCAAGGAATTTGTTTTACGGGCTCAACAACACACATGGGCGTCTGAATCTTACTACTCAGAAACTAGGGGAAATTAAAAGGAGCGCACGTGAAAAAATCACAGCCTTCACTGGGGTCTGAACCCGGAACTTTCAACACTCGAGGTTGACGCCATGCCACGAAGCCATTCAGCATCTCTGTAGTGTGAAACGTGCAGAAATTGAGAAACCAGAGATTTAAAATGAAGAATCTTGAATATATCTTGGGCAAACAAGAAGCCAGCTCATACAACATTGCTTCAAAGAGACTAAAAATACAATTTATAGAAAATCTACACGAAAAATGGGAGGGAGGGAGAAAAAATTGTCTGTTGTAGAGAAACAGACAATAGAGGCAGATGAACATGTAAATGTTGAACTGGGAGATAGGGATTACACAACAGCAATCCAGGCTAATGGCCTTTTGCTATAAGTTGTGTGGTTGTTTTTTTCGACAGAAAAACACAAACATGTTGAAAAAAAAAAAAAGAATGCTTGTCACCAAAGAATAATATAGACAGCATCAACTTATTCGGAGGTCGGGTAAACTATGAAAGAAAAAAAGTTTGTTATAATACAGGTTTAAACTTAACACCTTTGGACTGGCAGTCAAGCGTCTAGCTACTGCTCTACAGTCGCTCACCGTATGGTAAAATAATGTCGATAATTGTTTGGATGAAGAACTTGCTAACAACACTTGGAAATGCATTGCATACCACTGTACATACATCTGACAGTTAAATTCATTAGCATACATTTAATACAGGATTTCTTTTTTTCACTTGCAGACAAATGGCCCCAGTGCAGAGAACTTGATATACTCTCGGTCGCCGCTATCTTTGGAACAAAATTCAGATAAGAACCTCCCCAGCTTGAGAATGTTCCTGCGGTGACGTTAAGCGTATCAACATCTACATGAAGACATAAATATAACCAATTGTTAGCAGCAAAGAAAGTTACCATGACGAAAGCGGGAGATTGCTTCGTGTATTTCTGCTCCAAACTCCACAACACCCCAGCGGCCGCCATGTGTGTGGTGGTGTTCCTAGCTCAAACTGCCGCCATGGATTACTATTTGGTGCTTTACCTGTCCTACGATCATCTGTACTGGGTGGCCTCAGATATGCTTAACCTGGCTCTTCTTGTCAGTTGCATTTATCAGTCCTATTCTGGCAGATCCAAAAAGAACGCTAACAAGAAAACTGCTCACAGCTTTGCCTGGTTGTCGTGGCTTGTTATGAACATTGTCCTGTCTGCTAAGACAATAGTTGTCTTCCTTAATGTCGCACACACGTTAGAAGAAAAACACCCTTCGTTTTTTGGCCCAAACACTTTAAAAACTACTATTGCATTGGGCAGCTGTGTATTTCTGCTACTGTTGACAACGCAACACGATGCACCATTAGGCAGTGAACGAAGGCAGTTCATCAACGAACTGACTGGGACAGTTGTCTTTGACCTCCTGGACACAGCAGATATTCTGGAAATTTTATTCGAGGAAAATGAAACTGAATCATTTTGGACAGGACTTAAAGAATTCATCTTGGCCGTAGGTGTCTTGAATCTAGTAATACCGACAGTACCGTTGCTGACACTAAGTATAACAAACTTTGGGCGGGACAAGCTTCAGCGCCGGCTTATGTACCTCCATCGGATGTTGGTGGTCTTAGCCGTCAACGTTCCGAACCTCTTGGTCAGGCTAAATCTATGGCATGGACACAGTGTGGCTATTTCTCCGTTTACTCTGAAAAACATTATCCTGATTTGTATCACCGTCTACGAATTTTATCTTCACAAAAGAGGAAAGTACGAAGGACACAAACGAGAACGAAAACGGCAGAAGAACATTAGAGATAATGGAATTAATCCGACTGATATCTTTACTGTGAACATCCCTGATGCTAACAGCAATCACAAAAGTATTGATGACAACTTTGATATGGAACAGAGAGTAGTCACTTCTGAATAATAAAAAACTCCACAACAGACAAAACAGACTTTTTGTTTTGTTCTTATTCCTTAGGGACTGCAACCTGACAGCTGACACCCACTGATCCAAAGAGCAGTTTTCCGGAAGCCAATTTAAAGGAAACAAACCCTGAAAAACCTGTTCAGCCGAATACACGTTACAGTGGGTTACCCCATGAATCCACTAGGATAGCTCGGAATAAACTAGCAGACATTTAAAAAAAAATGAAAGTATAACATATTTTTTTGCTGCAGAAATGGTTCCTGAACTATTTACACTAAAAATAGTATACTATAATATGTTCCAGAAGTTTAAACTGGTTTAAAGTCAAGGATTCTAGCACAAAAAATGATTATACTAGACCAGATATAGAAGAGGAAGTATTCTCAGCAGCAGTTTTATCTAAATAGTTAAGAGACCTTCAACACTGAGTATTTAAAAAGCGGCATGCATGCGCACTCGCGCGCACACACACACACTGACAGGAATGACGTTATGAGCAGAGAACCAAAGAAATGCATATATATATATATATATATATATATATATATATATATATATATATATATATATATATATATATATATATATATATATATATATATATATATATATATATATATATATATATATATATAGCCCGGCTCGCTAGCGTAGTTGGCTAAACCGGACAGCGCCGTGACCGGGTGACGAACTCCTTGTGGTTCGGGTTCACTCCCGGGGTAGGCAGAAAAGTTACATTTCTCCCAGATTCACGGTATTTATCATGGAATCAAGGCCGAAGGGTTGCGATATCCATAATACCGAGCCTAAGGGTTAACAACTCATAACTTCTGGATACAATTTATATATATTTTTAAAATAGCTGTGAGTTTATATAATATTAAACTATAAATTAAAGGGAAAACATGAATACTAGAATGGAGATTTGAAAGGAAAAAAATAGGCATACCGATTGTTGAACGCTGCATTGCTTGTCAAGTAACATTACGCGTTAAATTCCTGAAAATTTATACAATTGGTGAAATCGTCATTATTACGTTGGCACCTTCACTGTGCACAGCGTTTCCTGGCATTCATTTTAGGCTGGACGGACAGTAGTAGTAATACATTTCACCCCACTAGCACTTCACACAAGCGACAAACATTCGATGACACAAAGTGCCACCATGTGGATGATGAAAGGTCCCGGAAACCGCGTTCAGCCATTAGACCATAGGGTGGGACTTTAAAATAACGAAAAATTGCATCCCACGAGGAGATGGCTTGTTATATGGGCGGACAGATAATCCTTGTCAATTTATACCCATCGCTGGCCATGAGGCAAGCAAAGAACGGTAACACATTAACCTGATCCCTGCCATACATGTCGTGAGAGGCAACTAAACAAATCTAGCGTTTACTGACTACTTTGTCTACTGTGAAGCATTAGCTTTAAAAACAAGCATATACAATTTGAAAAAAAACAGATTACTTAAAGCACAGACAGTGTATATCTACCTGTTTTCAAGAAAGAAAACAAAATACCGGTCTCCTTAAACAGAGGTGTATACAAAGCTCATTTGGGTAAAACTCCAATAACTTCTCTATATCAGCAGAGTGGATTCCCACGCCCAGAAATACATATTATAATAGCAGCTGACTTCCTCGAAGAACTCAGTATCTTTCTCTGCTTCGTAGTTGGTCATAATTATCCCCAGGCCGAGATTATTGTCATGCAAGTCACTTGTACCTAAGCTTTGTCAAGGATGCTTGACTGACTGACTGACTGACTGACTTTCTACCCCACCAGGACATCACACAAGCGATAAACACCCGATGACACAATGTGCCACCATGTGGATGAGGGTCACCGTGGAGAGGTCCCAGAAACCGCGTTCAGCCTTTAGGCCATATTTATGGCCAGGCTATATTGCGGCCCCTGGCAAAGGCCAGAGTAGGGCTTCAAATGAAGAAAAATTTCGTCCTAAAAAGGACGCAAAATGTTTAGACAAGAATGCTTAAACAGTGGAGGATGTTGAAGTGGTTTTTCCTAAACGCGCCAAGTGTTAATAAACTATGAAAGGGGTCGCTTAAAAATCACCTATGTCTTGGAGTAGTCTCTTAAAGCTGGCAATGACCTGATGTTTATAAATCGGATTAGACGAGTTGTGGGCAGAAACTTCACTGTCGTTAATTAAATCCGTCTGAGATAAATATTTCTCTGTCAGTTTGTCAACCGAGCTTGAAGGGCGAGCAGAAGCATTCTGAAAGAAAATTATGAAAACACACTGCACATTCGAGCATGATTCTGCATTGAGCGAAAGTATCTCTTTCGCCAGTCTCATCCTGTGAAGAACGGGATTTCAGAATCGGATAATCAAGAACCTAGATTCTCTTCGGAAGCAAAGGGGTTTTTATGGCCCCATAATATTGTTTAAAAACCGCATTTCTTTCTTCCCAAGCAAGGCGTTCAAGAACTGAGGTTATATATATTTTTGTGTGGTCTCCCTTCATTTCCATTCCCCCGTGGAGTCCAGTGTAAATCCCTTCTGTTGTACTGTTGTCCCGTTTTTTCAACTAACCACCCCCTATGGGTTCCTGAGCCCGATTTTGGGAGGTTAAAAAAAAGATCCACTGCCAACCCCCACCCCACCCACCCTTTCTCCCCCAGTTGACTGAGCAGGGTATCTCCTTTGAAGCTGGAGTGCATCTGCCTAAGAGGGAGGGAAAAACAAAGCCAGATCTTTAAAACGTGTATGGACATAAAACGCAAGTTCTAGAACAAGACTAAATTCCAGCGTGGACAAACAACCAGAACTTTCCGTCAGAGTTTACACTTGGTGAACGATAAGAAAAGGAAGAAGAATCAAACCTGAGACCAAATCGGTCTTGTCAGTAATAATATCTGCTTCTCTCAGAAGAATATGTTTGGCATCTGAAATCTATGGACCTTTGTTTTGATTCGTATCTTTCACCTTCTGAAATGGTTAAACAAAAATAATACCACTTTCTACTTTTTCTATGGTTACGCATTTAAAACTAATATTTACATAGTGTTTTTGTCTTTTGCGGTTCCTATCATGCCGTTTTCTATGCATGTCTATATGTATGAAGGCGCGTATGGATGGATAGATAAATGTATGGATGGAAAGATTGATGGATGGATGGCGCGGTTTCTGGGACCTCTCCACGGCGATCCTCATCCACATGGTAGCACTTTGTGTCATCGGGTGTTTATCGCTTGTGTGATGTCCTAGTGGGGTAGAAAGTCAGTTAGTCAGTCTGCCAATATTTACATTGCAGACCTCTCCACGGGTGATCCTCATCCATGGTGGCACTTTGTGTGATGTCCTGGCGGGGTAACATATACTATTACTACTCCTGATATTTGTATGGAGCGTCGCAGGTCGACCCAGCCTAAAATGGGTACCAGGATATATGTCCTAGGGAAGTAAAGACGACTGGCGTAATGCTGACCACATTACCCACGTAGGGCCGATTAATTTGTAAAAGTATGGGTGCTCTTTCCATAATGCCGATGCGCCTGAAAGGCGTGAAAAGGGATCTTTACTTATTTTTTTTAACTTTTTACTCCCGATATTTAAAACTAAGTCGTCCTCGTGTGGGATGCAATTTTGTGTTATTTGAAGCCCCATCCTAGCTTCTGTCGGGGGCCCTGAGTATACATGGGCCATAAATATGATCCTCATGGTGGCACTTTATGTCACCGTGTGTTTATCGCATGTGTGATGTTCTGGTAGGTTACAACTACAAACCTACCTACCATCCCAATATTATAATCCATCATCCCCAAGTGGGACGCAATTTGTCGTTATTTTTGAAGCCCCACTATGGCTTTTGTCGGTGGCGGTAATGACAGAGTGACTATCAAATACTGACTGGAAATTGCTAAGGAAATTAGAAAACTATATAAAACTAAAAGAAAAGAGTAGTCAGTGGTATTCGGTCATGCGATGAGAAGAGAGGCAATGGAGAACGTTGTGATGACAGTAGAAGAGGTAGCAGTAGATCATGAGAGACATTGCTTGAGGACCTAACGCCATGACATAATGGAATACCATCGGTGGAATTAATTTAAAATATCCTGACCCGAGAGCTGCGGGGACACATGTTCGCCTTTGCCGCTGGACAGGACACGTGATAATGATACATTTCGAATTATTCCGGGGCTACATGGTCTCAAGGCATTGTGTCCGTCTCAGTGCTTGAGGTCCCGGGTTCAAGTCCTGGTAAAGGCTAGGATTATTTCACGTGGATTTATAGTAATTTCCCCATAGTCTCTGGGAAGTAAGACCGGAAGCCCGTGTGTTTTTGTTGCGCACGTAAAAACATCCCTTAGCAGTTGGAAATCGGGCAACAGTTGAAGTTAAAATTCCACCTATAGGATTTCAGGATCCTCGCCGGTGCTACAGAGTTCGTGCACTGCGTTGAGATTCTTCGGACTCAAGCTTGAGTTTTTTAATAAAGCTCTAATGGGTTATATCCGTGTGCCATGATGTTGATCCGTTAAATAAAACATAAACATATTATTTCGAATATATATATATATATATATATATATATATATATATATATTGTATGGTTAGCCAATTGCCCAAATGTTGATATTTTATTATCTAAAACAGCTAATTGTTTTCAGTTATAGATCCAAACCCCACCCCCTGATTTCAGAAAACTCTTAATTAGTCTCTTTTTATGACATACCTGTTAGAAACCGTCGACCCCATGTGGGATGCACTTTTTGGTTATGTTAAAGCCCCATCCTGGCTTTTGTCGGGGGCCCTAAATATAGCCGGGCCTTAAATATGGCACAAAGGGGTTTCCGGGACCTATCCACGGGTGATCCTCATCCGCATGGTAGAACTTTGTGTCACCAGGTGTTCATCGCTTGTATGATGTCCTGGTAGAGTACAACTTACCTATACTTGTTAAAGAACAAGCAATAGGCCATACTATCCCCCCCCCCTCCCCCCACAAAAAAAAAAAAAAAAAAACTG